CCTTCCTTCCTTCCTTCCTTCCTTCCTTCCTTCCTTCCTTCCTTCCTTCCTTCCTCTGTTCAATTTCCTCAACTCTATCAGCAGGGCCTTTTCTCTGTTCTATTTTGCTGTTTCAGCTGGAAATGAGTGTGTGTGTATGCGTGGTCATACTTTGTGTGCGAATGGTTTATGTGTGTGAGACCACAGTTGAATCAATTGATTTTTAATGTGGTGCATTAGTTTACAGGTAATTAATTTCCATCAGTTGTCTATTTAGTTCTTGACTCAGCTGTGAAGAAGCCTGCAGCACGGCCGCTGAACCTCAGCAGTTATTCTTTATCTTGTTTGATCAACAAGAGTTATTTTCTTTATAAATAATTAATTAAGCAGGGGAGGACTTGTCCTGGCCCCACCCTTCTTTGGTGTGTGATATCTGGCCAGTGTTTATACCTACACACCCTGACACCCACATGCACAGAAAAGTTTATCACAGGCACTTATTTATTGGGGGGGAGGGGAGAAATCTCCAGGACCAAATTCAGCTGGAGTTGGCAATCTTAGCTTGACAAAGTGGAGAAGATGGGCATTCCTTAGGATTTATGTCTGTGTTTTCCTCCCCCCCAACCCCCGCACCCTCACAGCCGTTTCCTGTTCTTTTGGGAGAGTGGGCTGGTTATTTTGAATTCAGAGTTGCCTGCTTTTCAAGCCTTTAGTCTGAAAGGTAATCTGTGGATTCAAGGTACAGTATGTATGTAGGGAAATCAGAACTGCTGAAAAAGAGATTCCATGCTGGCTAAATTAAGTGAATCTGTGGCAGAAAGCTCAAACCTAGGCAGAACCTTTCCCACATACTGTACTCCCCATCACCTGTAACATCTTCTTACTTCTGTAAGCATCCTATCCCATTCTTTCTCCTTGCTTTTTCACCCTCATCCTGAAGGTCACGTTGTGTGGTCCTCCCTCTGTGGATGGAATGCCACTCCCATCCTCCTCATCCCTGGCTGGAGCTGATGGGAGTGATTTGCTTCCTGCTGTTGACATCCTCCTTGAATCCTCTTTTCTGAACTGAGCAGCAATGCTGCAGCCAGGAAAGTTAATGAGAGGGAGGTGGTCAGGACAATGGGAGCCAATATTCTGACTGGGATTCTGCCAAGGATCTCAGAAACCCAAACCCCACGCTCCCTGCTAGGGAATGACAGTCATGAGAATGGCCCAGACTTTCACCATCAACAAGCATAAAGGCTTTCATCTCCTTCACGCTGCCAATTATTACCCAGTTTTGTACGGCAGGGGAAGGTAGAAATGAGAGAGAGGACTGGACAAGCACAAAATCTGTTATGAACCTCCATTACTCCAGTTTAGCGAGCCCCTGGGCACAATGGGACAAGGCTTCCTCATTACCTAGTGTCAAAAACACTTTATTGTTCTTCTCAAGATGTGGGTTCACACAACCATCTACGTTCCAAGCTTGCTAGTCTGAAGTATTTCTCTAGACCAGACATTACTTCCTCCTCATGTAATTTTTCTGTTTGAAGGTTGGAGGTGAAGAAGCAATTGTTCTGGAGAATCTGGACCCTTCCATGGGCAGGATTTGCATGGACACCAGCTTGCGTTCTCATGACATTGTGAGTTCTTCTGTATCTGAGGGGACTTCCAGCTCACAGGTAGAGATGGGCAATTGGCTCTGTTGTGGCATATGGTATTTGGAACCTCAGAGGTAACCCTGAGCCTTGAACTACCACAGCTGAGGAAAACAGCGACTGCTATACAACCTGCAGTCATCAACTGAACCTGTTTGATTATTCCAGGCTGAAAGTATGCTCCACTCACCATAAACATTCAAGTTTTAAAAAACTTTACTGAAGGAATAATTTGATTGTTTAGGTCAAGGGGAAAAAAATCATGGATCTATTTTACATGCACGTTAAACCCTGTTCAATTACCATATGAAAAGTTCTTACAATTAAACATCACCTAACACCATCTTTTCTCTTGGGATGTAGGCGTGATTACGCTGAAAACATAATTGAAACAAGTATGATTTTTCAATTGGTTCTTTTATTGGCAATGAAAACTTTATTTCAGGAAAAGTAAAGCAGCAAAATATTGAATAAATAAATAAACAGAACTATTTGTTTTGTCATCTCCATACAGTTGATGGCCTTCATCCAAAACATTAAAATACTGTAACAAACAGAATAAATGTGCATGAATTAATGTCTTAAAAAAAACCCAGCTGGAATACAAAAGTAATACTTTTGATATTTTTTTTAATAAAATACAGCACAGAGCTATTCAATAATGGAAAATAAATCAGAATACAGGTTTGCTATTTACAATCATTATTAAGGCCCAATTCACATTACATAAAGCACGTTAGGAATTTGGTTGACTCTGAGAGTCTGCAAAGAAATTAGAGAGGGCAATTCTCTGGATTACTCCACAAAGGCGCAATGTTGCAACTGCAAGTAAAACTTAACCAGTCTTCTCATATAAAAAAAAAATATGAATGTTGCTCAAAGACTAACCATCTGACAGACATGATGAGGAGGTCTATCAACCCAGGTGAATTTTTTGGGGCTTACTGAAGCCTTCTGTTGATCTCACATATGACATCTGCACCCACATGTATGTTACCATCATTTTGAAGGCAGGAAAACATGAAGATTGGCCTTCACCAGGGATTGATAGACTTCAGATTCTTTTCTCATCTCCATCCCTTAGAGCAGGGCTCCTTCAAACCCACTAAATTATTATTTAGGTGGAGGTTTTACCAACCACACTCTCCCCCCACACCAAACTTTCTTTGTGAAA